TAAATTAAACTCCAATAACGGGTCTTGTGATGAAGCTGTTGGTTCTGTTTTTTCTAATAAGTCGGGCCAACGAAATTGTTCATCTTCTTGGAGGTGAACATCCAGAATCTCTTTATTATTTTCTACTTTATGTAATAACTGCTTTAAATAGAACTTATTAATAAGAGAACTACATACTTCTAAAGTTGTATCTTCCATTACAAACAACTTATACAGAAATGGGTGTGGCTTTATCATGAGCCATACAATAAAGGTGTTCTTTTAATAGAACATCGAGTTCTGGCCAGTGACTTTATAACCCTTGTTTGGGTATTCCCTGGCCATATACAACTGAGACATCGGAGCCAAATGACTAGAATAAAACACTGACTCTTCCACTTGTTCTGTTACGTCGAATGGGTTGTCATTCGCTTCCATTTTAAAGACCTGATTTCCTTCCCAGAACATTAACTGTTGGTGCAAGGTTGATGGCACACATTGAGAGGCATGAATCCAATCTCGTCCCAGCAAAAGAGAGTATGTGGTATCTGCGTCCACAATAAAGAAAACAGTGGAAATTTTCTTTGGTCCGACCTCAATTGTGGCAACCATCATACCTTCAGGCTTGGTCGGCTGCCCTGTAAAACTTGTCATTTCGAATTCCACAGGGGACAGATCATGAATTCCTTTCCCTAGCTTCTTGAGAGTCTTCAATGGCATAACATTAAAGACTGCTCCATTATCCACGAAAACCTTTGTGATTGGTTTCCCACAAATGTGAGCATTAACATACAGGGGTTTCAAATGGGAGTTCGCACCCTCTGGAATAGGAGGAAACACAATTGAAGGTGCTTCCGACTGAGGCTCAGAATCTGTAATCTTTGCCCACTCTGTTTCCTCTAATTCGCCATCTGCCAAGAATGCCCATAAAGGTTCGTCCATAATATCATCTACCAGACTCGCCCACGTCGGTTCATCACTCATCTGGTTAACCTCTGTCATTCGACAAGGGATTCGTGGTCCCAGACGAGATTTAACAGATCTTGAATTTTCCTCTGTAGGCACCACTTCTTCCTTCGTCTCATTTCGAGATTGAACCGTCAAGGATTCAATACGAAATTCTTCCAGAGATGGATTGATGTTGATCCGTTCACAATGTTGGCATCTAAAACCTTTAATTATTTCATGTGCCATTCCCTTACCTTTCCCCTGTCCCGACGAACTTCTTTTGGTATAGTCGGAAGCTCCTAATCCGTCCTTCGGTTGCTTTCCTGACCAGACCCGACTGGACCGACTTATTGGAGACTGAATGGCCGCTCCCTGCTCGTCGGTCGTTTGTTCTGTAAAGACTCTAATGGACTGATCTCCTGTCAAGTGGTCGGCCGCAGTTTGTTCGTCGGTTCTTTGTTGCACTGCAGGAACTCGTTTCCCATACTTTGCAGCATACCTGCGTTTGGCATTGCGAATCTGTGTACGATTCATACCTGGGAAACGAGGATCTATATCAACGGGTAAAGGCTTTTTATTTCGAGCCCACTCGTTCCCGACTGAACCCGTTTTTCTGGTCGGGTGGTCTTTCACTAAAACCTTTTCCTTCACTTCCACGTTAAAAGAACCGTCTGGACGGTCCCATTTTTCAGCGACTGGCCTTTCAACAACCTTGAGTCGTTCTTCCGGTCGGCTGCTGTTTGGCTGATTCCCTTTCTTTTTTCCGGGACTAGTTTGCTCCCCTGTTTGTCCACTATTGACCGAACTTTTCCTTGTTTCCGAACTTGGTTGGATGTCAACCATTGCAGTTGTTAGTTTCGGAAATGGTTGCTGGTCTACACCTAAAGTGATGTATTTGAGCCGACCTGTCTTGATGGCTTTTTGAATTTCCTTCCTAAAATGAGTACACTGACTTGTAGTGTGTGTGAAAGAATTATGCCACTTACAATATGGTCTCCCTTTGATTTCTTCTTTAGTGGCAAGTCTTTGGCCCTTTGGAATACGAATCTGCCCATCAGTCAGTAGGATATCAAAGATTTCATCAGCTTTCGAACTATCAAAGGTCGGTTGCTCCTTTCCTTCAGATCCTGGTACTGGCTTCAATTTAGGACATACATACGGTTTTCCAGAAAGGATTTCGGCTGCCATCTCTTCTGACTGATTAAAATCAAAGTCGCATGTTTCTGTTCCCATACTCGCCATATGTTGGCCTCTATTACGCCTGTTATGCTGCTCTTCCTCTCTGAACAAAGACTCTAGACGTCCTGCCTTGGATGCAAGATTTGCCAAATCCTCAACATCCAGGGCAGTGAGTGCCTTTCTTAAGCGATTATGCATATTCCGGACCACTAAATTGGTCATCTCTTTCTCACTGATTACCGTAGGACATCGTCCCTTCATCAATCGTACCCTTTCTATAAACTGTGAAGCAGTTTCTTCTGGATACTGTCTCAATTCAAGTAAATCAGTTAAAGAAACAACTGGTAAAGGATTAAAGAATCTAGCGTGAAATGCCATTTCCAATCCTTCCCATGTCTGAATTTGTCCAGGAGGTAGACTTACAAACCATGAAAACGCCGTTCTGGTAAGAGACAAACCAAACAGCTGTAACTTATAAAAAGGGTTATTGCCAACCTCTCCTAATTGTGCTGTGAACCGACCAACATGTTCTATGGTGGAAGATCCGTCCTCCCCTGAGAATGCATGAAAGTCGGGTGGTCGAAAATTCCTTGGGAGAGGGTGTTCATGAATGATCCTTTCTGGGAAAGGTCTTTGATATGCAGGGCGGTTAGCCATCTGAGGAGTTAATCCATACTGATCCCTTAATATATGTGCAATCTCATCAGGATCTACATGAAAGCGTTGATGATCAGGAACCTGGAACGGATCCTGCACAGGAATATGAATCGGATCATGTATATATCCTTCAGGCCTGTCCTCCCTTGTATTGTTCGGCTGCGAATTGGTAACCCTTGGTCCCAGTGGAACATTGTTGGGAAAAGTCAAAGGAGTTTTTCCCCGATCCATTCGGTTGGGATTTGTGGCACTTGGGAATGTACTATCCACGAATGATGGCCCTGCGAAATTTGCCTGTGGTCTGGACGGTGACACTCCTGGTGGCGTTTGAGTGGGTTGAAGACTAACCCTTGACAATGCTTGATCTATCATGTTCTGCAACTGACTCTGTTGCTCACGCAACATGTTCGTTTGTTGCTCACGCAACATATTCTGCATAACCAAGGTATGCTGGTTGTTCATTTGTTGAACATAAGACCACCAATCAGTTGGTGGTTGTGGGATGTCCCCGGCATTTGGCACAATGGGTGGTGGAACGGATTCTCCCACCGGTGTCGAAGATGCTTGCGGTTGTGACCCTGCCATATGGACCCTTCCGATGATTCGGCCGGATCTAAGACGTATGAAATTATCGCCGGAATTGGAATGAGCAATTTTGTCTTGCTCCCACTGTGGTCGCCAATTTGTTGATGTAATTTTTCAACAAAAATAAAGTAAAATTCAAAGATATAGAAAATATCCTTAAACTTGATTAATTAGTGCCTGAGATTAGGAATCTCTAAACACTGTATGGTACAGAAAATAAACTGGAAAATAAAAGACTGAAATTTAAAGTGGTGATCCCCAAATCTGACTTTGCTTTGTTGAAGTTGATTGAAGATCCCTTGCCAAATGATGATCCAAATCCTTAAATATTCCCTGGGAAACCGTACTGAAAACCGTCACCCGAACGGTTACAACGTCTCCTTCTCAACCGTCTTCCAACCTTTCTTATGCTGACACGTGTCCCCAGCAGACCAAAAATTCCCTATATTTCACTCCTTGAGCCGACCACAGACCTTCCGCTCTTTTGGCCCGACTGCCAATCTACAATAGTATGGGTCCGACCGCCAATCCTCCCGACTTGCGAACCATCTGGCTTGAGGTCTTTCCGCCTTGAGGACTTCCCGACCTGAAAACCTTCCGACTTGAGGTCTTTCCGCCTTGAGGACTTCCCGACCTGAAAACCTTCCGACTTGAGGTCTTTCCGTCTTGAGGACCTCCCGACCTGAAAACCTTCCGACTTGAGGTCTTTCCGTCTTGAGGACTTCCCGACCTGAAAACCTTCCGACTTGAGGTCCTTCCGTCTTGAGGACCTACCGACCTGAGGTCCGTCCGTCCTAATGACTTTCCGTCTTGAAGACCTACCGACCTGAAGACCTTCCGACCTGAGGTCCTTCCGTCTTGAGGACCTACCGACCTGAGGTCCTTCCGTCCTAATGACTTTCCGTCTTAAGGACCTACTGACCTGAAGACCTTCCGACCTGAGGTCTTTCCGTCCTGAGGACCTACCGACCTGAAGTCCTTCCGTCCTGAGGACCTACCGACCTGAGAACCTTCCGTCCTGTATTTTCCTTAGAAATAAATAAATAAATTTATTTTCCTTGATTTCCTCACGGTGTCCTTCAGCCAGTTCAATCAACCCTATTGCCAGGCCCATTCTTCTTTTTTACCTTGGGCTTTTAACCTAATTCTAAATTTCGTACGTAACAATAATATATATGTTATTATTTAAATATGAAATAATATAAAATTATATCATATTATAATTAAGAAAAAAAAATTATTGGAGTTAATATATAAATAATAAAAGTAATATAATTGTGTAAAATAAAAAATATATATATAATATTATTTTTAAAAGGAAGAAATAGAGTGTATTGGAATAAAGTTAAAATTTAGAAAAAAAAATAAAAAAATTATTCGGTTGGTCATGATCTAAGACATCTTTCTTTTTGGGATTATGATTCTGATTTTCTTTAACGTTTAGACAAATTTTTTTAAAAAAAAATAAAATTACTAGAATCAAATAATTATGTTTTATTTACATACATATATAAAATATAATTTTTATTTTAAAATATTATATTTAAATGCCTGTTTATAACAATATAGTAATATTTTAAATAAAAATAAATTTTTTGATGAAATATTTTAGATAAAAATATTCTTGCAGTCGAATAGCTGTACATTCGGTCGTCTTCATTTCCATGGCAATGAACAGTAGTGTGCATTCTGTTCTTTCCTATTCCTAATCAGAATTTTTGGATGTTGTAATTCAGCTCCGACGAATTCGCCGATGCTCGAATTCTATGTTTGTCTTGAAGAGCAGTGCTCCTCCGGAGCCATATCTCCTGCGCTTGGCATTTCTCGGCATATCTAGATTTTTGCCCAAATTTGTACTGCCACAAGTCCGATTGTTCGCGGAAGCTTCATCTAGAATTCCTGCTAATGCCTCGTTGGAGCTGGAAAAGGAATCGGAAGAAGGAAAAGGAGAAGCAAAGAGTTTGAGCAGGAGGATCGAGAAATTGGCGAGAGGAGAGTCCGTGGCTGCCGCCTTCCAGAGCTGGATGGGTGAAGGTTTACCTATCCACCGAGGCGATGTTTTCCACACTATCAACCGATTGCGCAAGCTCAAAGCCACCCGACGTGCGCTAGAGGTCAGTTTTCATTGGCACGTCTGTTATTTGTTTGATGAATTGCTTCGTTGCTTCGTGTTCATTGACATGCCTGCTATGTGTTCGACGAATTGCTCCATCGTTATTGTTCATTGACATGACTACTATTTGTTCGACGAATTGCTTCATTTCTTCGTATTCATTGACATGTCTGCTATGTGTTCGATGAATTGCTTCATTGCTTCGTGATAATTGACAAATGACATGACTACTATTTGTTCGACGAATTGCTTCATTTCTTCGTATTCATCGACATGTCTGCTATGTGTTCGATGAATTGCTTCATTGCTTCGTGATAATTGACAAATGACATGCCTACTATCCGTTCCATGAATTGTTTCACTGCTTCGTGTTCATTGATATGCCTGCTACTACGAATTGCTTCATTGCTGTAAAGAATTTTGAGTCCTCATTGACATTATGCCATTTGTTCGACGAATTGCTGACTACCATTGTTTGATGAATTGCTTCATTGCTTTAAAGAGTTTTAAGTTTTCTTGTTCATCGGCATTCCTGCAATTTGTTTGACGAATTTCTCCATGGTCGTGTTCATCGACATGCCTACAATTGTTCAACAAATTGCTTCATTGCTTCATGTTCATTACTATTTGTTCGATTAAATGCTTCGAAATGTTCGATTTTGCTTAATCTCTTACACAATTTCGGCGTATGATTTCAGGTAATGGAGTGGGTAATAAGAGAGAGGCCGTACAGGCCGAAAGAATTAGACTATGCCTACTTGCTCGAGTTCACAATAAAGTTCCACGGCATCTCGCAAGGGGAGGCGCTGTTTTCCCGAACCCCTTCCGACTTCAAAAGCGAGCTTCTTTACAACAACCTCGTACTCGGCTGTCTCGACAAGGGATTGATACGGCTATCGTTGGCGTACATGAAGAAAATGCGGGAGCTGGGCCATTCGATATCGCACTTAGCTTTCAATCGCCTCATCACGCTACACTCCTCGCCGGGCCGCAAGAAATCGATCCCGAAAATCCTGACCCAGATGCGCGCCGACAAAGTCGCACGTCACGTGTCGACGTACAACATCTTGCTCAAGATCGAGGCCGACGACCACAACATCGACGGGCTGACGAGAGTCTTCAGCGAAATGACAGCGGAACCGAACGAGGTAACCTACTGCATTCTCGCCGTCGCCCACGCCGTCGCGCGGCTGTATGCCGCATGCGAAGTTTACGTCGAGAGTATCGAAAAGTCGATGACGGGCGACAACTGGTCGACGCTCGATATTTTAATGATACTCTACGGTCGATTGGGGAAAGCGAAGGATCTCGAAAGGACGTGGAGCTCGATTCGGGCCCTCCCCCGCATCCGAACCCGGAGCTTCCTCCTCGCGATCGAGGCGTTCGGGAGAACTGGGAATCTCGACCGCGCCGACGAGATATGGGTCGAGATGGCGTCGAAGAAGGGGTTAAAATCGACCGAACAATTCAACTCGATGATCGGCGCGCAATGCCGAAACGGCGCGATAACGAGGGCAACGGCGTTGTACAAAGAAATGTCGGGAAACGGGTGCAAGCCGAACGCGATTACGCTTCGACATTTATGCCTAGGTTGTCTGAAGGCGGGGCTTGTTGAGGAGGGCGTTAGGACACTCGAGGCCGGGATGGATTTCCCAACCTCGGAAAAGGTTAGACGGTCGACGCCGTGGCTGGAGACGACGTTTGCGGTGATGGAGGTTTTTGCGGAGCGCGGCGACGTCGGGATGGCGGAGAAATTGTTCTTTGAGTTGAGACGGAGAAAGTATACGAGATATACATTTGTGTACAATGGGTTGTTGAAGGGATATGTTAAGGGTAAGGTTTATGAGGCCGGGTTTGTTCGAAGGATGATTTTGGGGGGGAGTCGCCCGGATTCGGAGACCTATAGCCTTGTCAAGGTTATGGAGGAGTTTCGACATGGGAGTTGATAATCTGACTTATTATTATTAGTCCTTTTGTTCCATATAATTTTTCATACATATATTTTTTCTATATAATTTTTCATTTTATTTTTTTAAAATACGATTATATATAAATTTATAATTTTTCTAATATTAATTAAATTATTTTAATTTTAATATATAATTATTTTTAATAATATATTTTTTTTTGAAAAAAAGTAAAATTTAAGAAAATTTTGCAAAAGAAACATACAGATCATGTTTATAATTTTATATATATATAGATATATATATATATTTTTTATTCCTTTATAGTATTATGTAACTTTCAAATTTTTAAAAAATTATTTTAAATTTATTTATAATTATATATATTATGATACTATAATTCTAACTACAATCAAACTTGAACACTCACCCTTTGGGATGTTTTAACTTTTTATTTTATTTTAGATAAAGCAAAGGTTTGTTTATGCATATAATCACATGTGTTTTTCTTGCATTTCTAACACACGAATATTGAGAATAAATAAAAATCGAAAATTATTTTATGCATATATTTAAAATGTGTAATTACACGTGTTTTTTTGTATTTTGATATAAATATTGAAAATAATATTTTCGATTAAAATCATACTGTTTGATAATATTAGAATTATAATATAATATATTCAAATAATATACAAACAAAATTTATATGTAATATAAATGAACAAAAATATACATCTATTATATTAATAAATCAAAAACCTTAAATACATATAAATATATTTATTTAATTTACGATAGAAACAAAATAAATTATAAATAAATTCCACCTTAAAAGTATATTTAAAATAATAAAAACCATTTTTTTTTTCACTTAAACCTCCCTCCTGCTTGCTTATTGTAACTATATAATTATAGGACATACAATATTCTGAATATATTATCCACATTCATTTGGATCCTAATAAAAAATATTAAATGTAAAAATAAAAAATCCAATAATAAAAACAAAAACACACACAGAGAAATAAGCTTTCTTGAACTCATAAAAAAAAAAAAAAAAAACAAAACAAAACATAGGAGATGAAACTAAAACAGAAATTTTTTGCTTTCCAAAATATAGTAGTAGAGGGAGACTAGAGAGAAATTCACCATGTTTGTTTCATCTCATCCTCGGCATGTCATCTTCGATGGATTATTCGAGCCTTTCTCCGAAAACATCGTCAAGCTAAGCTACAAAACATTCAACAATAACCGTGAATCGGAGAAAATATAACTAATATTCAAGAACATAAAAATAAACACATGATGTTACTCTTCTACTATTTATGTGCACATTTGGTTTTAGGCTCCGCTCAAAATCATCTCATTAAATGCCTATTTTTTATTTAATATATTACATAAGAAAATCAAAAAATAAAATATTCATTCAAAATATCAAATATCGGATCAAACATCTATCTATATATATATATATATAGACAATTCAGGTGGGACATAGGTAATATCAAACATTTATATTTGTCTACCAAATATATGAATGATTTTCTTTTTTCTTTGAACACAAAAAAAAGATGTATTTTTCTATTTATTTCAAAAAATAGTACTCCCTCCATCCCAAACACCCTGCGGTTGGCATGTCCCAAACACCCTTGATTATAATAAAATAGGAAATAATAAATTATACTTAATCTCTATCCCACATTTGAAAAAATAAAATATATATTTCTCTCTCCATCACATCACCTAATTTTTAAATTTTTCTACTTAATACTACCCACCTAAAAACCCGTGCCAAAAGTAAATGTTGCACATGTTTGGGACGGAGGGAGTACTATATATATTTTAATGTATACCCTTCGACATTACATTTATTTAAAAATATGACAGACCCATTTACATATTCAATTTATCCAAAATTTTGTTATTTTCATTAACAACCGACCAATATAATGATCTATCCTATTAATCATCGTTTCAATTCAAAATTTTATTATTCCTAACCCCATACACAAAGCTCAAACCAACAAATTTCATAACATGTAACTATTTCAAATAAATTGTGAAAGAAATATGCTTATGAATTCGAAAACTAACCTTCAAAGATGAAATGCTGAGGAGAGATCCTTAAATAACAAAAAACTTATCTCGGAACCGAACTCGAAGCAAGGGAAGCCGATTTGTTGCCATTTCTCGATATTTCATTGCAAGTTTCACCGATGTTGTTTTGTTCAGCAGTTGCTGGTGTATGACCTGCTTCATCGTTATCCCTCGTTTCGAGGCGTTCCATCATTCGGGTAACCGTAGCAAGTCCCGCATTTACCTCCCTCCGAACCTCAGAACCAATCTCTGTCATCGATGAGTTTCGAGAAAACAGCTTCTCCTTCAGCTCTTTAGTGCTCTTAGTGATCGACTCTTTGTATCTTGGAACATAACAAATCCACAATTTTTCAGAATTATCCAAAACAAGCAAAAAAAAAAAAACTATCTTCAATATATATAAAATAATAATAACAATCATCGAAAGTAAACCATACTTCATAGATAAAGAACTGAATCGAGATCTCCATGTGCCCGAGAAAGACGAGGACTCCGATGGTCCTGCTGCATCCTGGTTTCCCGAGGAAGACTCGCTCATCCTGTTTCTGAATGAAAATTTTGTAAATCCCGTCCGAAGATTATTCAATAGTTTATATAAGTTATGAGAAGTCGAATTTACCGAGTATCGTTAGATACACCTCTTCCAGTGTTGGGCGAGGAAGTTGAAGTTTGTTCTGTGCTTTCGTTGTTCGTCGACGTAGGCAGAGCCGATGAAATATTTCCAGGCACAGCAGTCGGATAGCTTTCGTCTCTTCCGGGAGTGGCCGAGGACTGGTTGGGTTGAGATGGAAAGACCATATATTCTCGGGATTGAGAAGAAGGACGGCGAATTGTGCCCTCTCTCCGAGGAACGTGGTGAGACCTGCCCATTGCAGCAGCTGCCGCTAAGTGTTGGATAATCCGGTCCTCAAGTTCGGCGGCATCCACTCCAACGGGTAACTGCGTTGGCAAGAAAAACGGCGCAACACGCTAACATAAGGTAAAGATATGAAAGAGCGAGCGGGAAATTAAGAATTTACAGAAGGGTGGTTGAAAACAGACATGCTGCAGATCGAAATTCCCGAGGGTGGGATGACGAAATACTGGCGCATTCCTTGAAGGGGTGAACCGTAAATTCCTCTCGTGTTCGACCGCTTCGAGTAATTCTTGACTGCCGTAACAACAAGAGGTGTTAATTCTTTCACCGTAACTAAAAGAACGAATTTGATTAAATGGGAAGTGTTAAGAGCAAACCTTGTAGGATCTTTCAGGGTGATATTCTGCCAACACATAGGACAGTTGGAGCTTCTTTGGCACCTGTTAGAAAAATCGATAGATAAGTCTTTTATTTAGTCTCTTTCTTGAATATAATTCGTACAAACCATTCAAGAACACATTGAAGGTGGAACTCGTGTTTGCAGCTCGTCACCTGTAAAATATGGCCCAAAAGATTGTTATAAACAGAAAACAATACGGCAGAATGCATCTAAAAATTTTAATGAAAGATTGAATAGCAATTCACCGTGGCAGGATCATTATCAGAAAATTCCTCAAGGCATATGCTACAAGCATCGTCGCACGGATCTTGAATCCCCCCTTCTACAAAAGCCGCAGCCGACGTCATCTGGCCCTCTGCCTTCGTGACCTCATCCATCCCCACAACCTTAAAAACACATAATCAAATCATAACTACAAGAAAAAACTCTAAATTAGCTGCTATCTATATCTACTAAGGCTTTGTTTACGTATGCTTTCAAAATTAAATTTCTACGGTACATATTTTACAAATATCACATCAAATGCTCGTTTTTCATATAAAATATTACATCAAATATAATACCTATTTTGTTGTTACTTTTTACCCTTAACAAAACTCTTTTGAAGCTCCAAAATTCTTCCAAAATATATCTACACACAAAAATTCCTAATGTGCTTCTATCTATATCTACTAAGGCTTTGTTTGCCTAACTTTCAAATCACTCTTAACACTATTTGCCTAAGGTACATATTTAAAAAATATCACATCAAATGCTTCGTTTTCTATGTAAAATATTGCATCGAATACATATTTTTTTATGCAAAACATCAAATACAATACATATTTCTAAATTACTTTTTGCTATTAACAAAACTCTTCAAAACTCCAAATTTCTTCCAAAGTATATCTGACGCAACCTAATGGTTGTGGCAACAAAAATTATCGAAGAATTATCGTTATCTATGCAAGTAGACAGACGTACATAGTAAATTGAAAAATACATTCAAAAATCATCAAATTTCAGACACAGAATTAATTTTTTTTTTCTAAAAAAAAAAAAAAAAAACCCTAAAACACAACAACGGGAATCATTCAATCTTCATGGGGAAATTCTCTTCCACAACACAATCGATACAATCTTCCCTCTGCAAAAATAAATCAATACTTCGAACACACAAAAAAGAAAGGAAAAAACAATAGCAATTCCGATAAAAAAAAAAAAAAAAAAAACGGAACAATTGAACCGAAACCAAAATAACAAAGAAATCAAAATCCCCCCAAAACAAACAAACACGGCCAGGCAACAATCAAGCCGTAGCAATAAATTCAGAACGATACAGAATTCGAATCGCGCAAAGGTGAAAACCACTTACTATCGGCCACGAATTTGGTAATCCGACGTCAATCAACGAATGGATCGGCGATTGGAGAAATCAACAACCGCCTCGGATCGGGAAAATTGCGAGGCGAATCTTCCCTCCGATGATGTGAAAATTGCGCGGGCGATAGGAGAGGGGAACCGAGAGCTCGCACAGTATTCGGAGAAGGAAGGCAGAGAGAGAAAGAGAGAGAGAGAGAGAGAGAGAGAGGGATTGTGGAAGTGGCGAAATAATCGTCTATTAATAATAATGGTTATGGATCGCCATTGGTGAGAGGCAGCAAATCCATTAAGCTTTTTAAACCTAATGGTTTATTTGTCCCTCGCTCGTGTTAAACGTGCCAATTTGTCTTATTTGGGCTCTCTAATTTGAAGCCCATTTTAATCGCCTTTATATTTTATTCTATATTCTATACTTATAATATGATATGGGCTATTGGGTTTATTTGTTTTTGTGTTTTCTCTTTTATTTTTATTTTTATTTTTTTCTAATATTATGTATAAAAAAAATATATTGATAATCTAAATAACTTTTTTTTTACAGCATCTTTTATTTATTGTCATTTTAGTCTGTAGACATTAGAGCTTGCAAAAACTGACCCGACACGACAACTCGATACAAAATAATTGGATTTGGGTCAAATATTTTAACCCGATTATGTATACGGGTTGATACGAACCTGACACGATAGTAAACGGGTTGAATTAGGATTGAAACTCTCAACTCGAACCCGACACGACAATCCGATTATAATATATTAATATTGATTAATGCATTTATTATATATGTAAAATAATTATAATTTAATAATTTTTTCATAAATTAATTTAAACTAACTTCAATTTTAAATAATTCTAACCTAATTTACGCTCAAACCAATAAAAACTAACATAACATGACAATATAACAAAAAATTATTTAATTTGAATTTAGAAATTCGACTTAATTATGTATATTGGTCAACACGAGTCAACCCGAACCCGACATGATAATAAACGGATCAACACGAACCCGACACGATAATAAACGGGTTGGGTTATGGTTGAGTAATTTAACCCGTTTAAAGCATTCAACCCGACACGAACCCGATACGAATCGACTCATTGTCAGCTCTACTGGATATCTACTCTCTTATTCTTAAAAAAAAAAAAAAAAACACACATTTTAATTAATAATGATGTTAATCTTACTTAAATTAATTAATTATTTTTATTTTAATTATACTTATTTTTACCCATATATTTTTTAATTCCTTACAACTAATTATGTTATTTTTAAATTTTAGTATCTATTGTGTATATAACATGATATATGTGATCTGTTGGAATTTTTTTAATCTATGAAAGAGATATATTTATTTATAAGGTAATATTTAAATAAAGAATTTCAAATTAAAATCAAATAATTTTTTTATTGTTTTTTTTAAATTCTATTTTTTAGTTTAATTGTAGTTTGGAAGTAATTTAAAATAAATTATTAAATAAGATTTATGATTTATATTGTATTTTGATGTTATGTTTCGTACGAGTAATATAATAATACTAATATTTATTTTATTGAAAATTATGATAAATAAATAATGCTAGTAATTTAAATTTGAAATCATAATCCAACAAAGAAACATACAATACAAGTGTAGTGAGTATGTTCATCTTGTGCTTTTTTATAGATGTATTGTTATAGTTAAATATGAAAAATTATATTGATAATATAAAAAAGTAATATTTTATATTGAATTATTAATTTTTTTAGTGAATCAAATATATAAGTATTATATATACTGTATTAATATGTATATATTGTATTTTTTTAATATTATCTCATTCCACCTTTTATGTCCATTTTACTGTGAGTAAAAAATTTGAAGTAAAAATATAATTAGTAAATAATTAAAAAATTGTATTAATAAAAATAATTTTATATAATATAAATAATCATAAATTAATATTAAACTAAATAATTAATTTAATTAAAATTTTAAAAATTATTAATTATAAAATCTAAAAATTGGAGAGATAAAATAGTATTTATAAAGAATCGTTGCACTAAAAGAACACTAACAAAACAAAGAGATTATTTTCAAAGTTACTTTTATTATTTTTTAGTTATACAAATGTTTTACTTTTACTATTTATAGAAAAATACTTTGTTGTCACTATTTGGATTTTAGATTTCAAGTAGAGTTTTAAATAGTAAAATTTTAAATATAAATAATTATTTAATATGATATAAATAAATATTAATATTATAATATAAAAAATATTTATTTAATTTGAGATTAAAAAAATCAAGAATATTGCAATTTAAAATCATAATCAATACTATTCAGTTGATATATTTTTAATAAAAATATATTATTTATTTTTAGTCAGAAAGTATACATATTTTTATTTTGAGTTGTCAAATTACAAAATAACTATTTTATTAAATACCTCACTGCTTTTCCGTAAATATTTATACTTTACCCTACATCATTACTTTTATACTAAAAAGGAAAGGCAAAATTATATTTACACTACTTTTAACTATTTATTATAATTAAAGTATTACTCCCTCCGTCCAAATATAATAGTCTTGTTTACCATTTTTGTCCGTTTCAAAATAATAGTTTTATTTTCATAAATAACTATATCACCATAAAATTACCCATACTTTTTCATTTTTATTACACAATTGTCATTACTTTTTACATTAATACACTCACAAGGACAAAAAAGTATTATATCCATATTTTTAACTAACTACCAATGTAATATCAATATTCTTTAAATTTTGTGTCCAACCCAATGAAGACTATATTTATGGGACGGAGGAAGTACTATTTTTCAAATTCCCCGTAAAAAATAAATGTATATTTATTAACATGACGGAAAAGTATTACTCACTTCGTTCCAAAACAACAGGGACATTTGAGATGAACACGAGAATTAATGAATAATTGATAGTGAGTGTAAAAGTATTTTTAAAATACCAAAATATCCCTATTTTATGTAATTATTGTGAAAAATTGTGCAGTTTTGTAGAAAGAGTGAAGATGTAGTTACCAAAAAAAAAATATAATCATTACTTTGGAACAGACGAAAATAATAAAATAAGAATATTGTTTTAAAATTATTTTTTTCTTCATAAAATATCGCTGTAAAATATTATTTAAACAAAAAATAAAATCAAATATGTCATTTCCAATTAGTTTCAAATGACATCCAAACAAACATTGCACTATCAATATGATTTTATTTTATTTATGAAAATATTATTTGAAAAGTGAATAAGTTGGTCAATTGTGAAGAGTGAATTGATTGTAGGAATTGGAATGGGACCATCGTCTTGTTGCTCCCGCTGCTTCTGAAACCACCTGAATCTGCCCTTCTAACAATGACCCCTCATTCTCCAGTACACCACTTTGCCCCCTTTTTTATTATTTTATTATTTTTTTTATTTTTATTTCTAATAATATCCACCACCAGTAATTGAGTTAAAAAGAAAAAAATAAAATAAAATGTACATATATATATAGGTTCTATTCAAACAGCATTTTTAAATAATTTGATTTTTTATATGTAGTATAAGAAATTATGTCAAGATATAATAATTTTATTATTAGGGATGCATTTTAATTTTTAAATTTTTAAATTTTAAATTATAATTAATTGAATAATAATTTATCTATTATCTTTTAATGAATCTCATTGTAACAAAGAGTAAAAATGTTATGGGACAGAGATACTGAGAAAGATAATTGAAAAATATGTTTTAAATAATAATAATAATAATAGTAATAACAATTAATTTCCCTGCAGCAAATGACGTGGCAGTAACTTTAACATTAACCGTTGATTTTTTACAGCTCACTTTTCCGGGAAGAGCTCCGCCAGAAACCGCCGCCGGAAAACTTCTCGAACATCTCCCGGTCGAGCTCCACCACCGCCTTATTTTCGTCGTTCACCACTCCGACCGGAGAAATAGCTCCGTTGACGATTCCGATTTCCTTCTCGTCGTAACCGTATTTTCTCGGCAGCAGCCTGCGGCGGCGCTTCCTCCTCAAAGCCTTCCGGAAAATCGCCGCCGGCAGCTTGTACACGGCGAGCACCACGAGATTCAACAGGCTGCAAGGACAGCAACACACCGCCGCGCACTCCGCTGCAGTTCCGCCGGCGACCTCCGCCATCCTCACTTTCCGACCGGTTCTTCCTCGCGAGGAGGAGTAATTCTCGCTCGCCAGCAACGGGAACCGCCGGTCCACTCTCGAAGCCGCCGGATGAAGCACAAATTGCTTCGTCATTCACAAAATCAGACTCCAATTTTCAACGTCGCCGGAAAAATTCCCCCTCGCCTCTGATTAAACTTTTGAAATCGAATCCAAATATCCAATTACTCCGTTAAAACGACGAATAACACAAATTCAAACCTGAATTTAGGAAATTACATCGTCGTGTGGTGGAGCTTCGGCGGCGCTGTCGTCATCGCGGCGGAGGCACGGCGAATGTGCGCCGATCGACGAAATGCGGGAGGATTTAAATGGACGGTCAGATTTAGATCAGCGGTTTGGAGAGAAAGTAGAGAGAAGGATTGAAAACGCGACATAAATAAATAAATAAATAAATATATTATATATATATAATAGCGCTTTCTGTGTAAAACCTTGAATATAAAAACAGCGACATTACTTGCTATTAGTAGTGAGTGAATAATAGTAGTAGGAGAGGCAAAAGCGTGATTTGGTTACGGGAAACACGATTTTAAGCGAAAAAAGGGAAAAGTCGCAATCAGGAGTGATGTGGTGTGGGTTAAAGGACAGTGAGTGGGGTTTGGATTCTCCTGAATACTGTTGGTCTGATTTGACGTCCTAATCGCCTCGTGAGGTTAACTGTAGTCATAAATTTTATTTTTTTTTTATTTTTTACTATAAAATTTATTGTCCACATGTTTTGTATTTTATTTTTAATATTTGTATTAATTTCTTTTTATTTAAATTTTATTTATATAAAAATTTTGAAATTTCTAAACTCCGATTAGATAGAAAAATTGCAAAAAACAAACAAATAAATAAATAATATTTTGTAAAATAAAAATATATTGATTATATATTTTTGAAAATATTAAATTAATGTCACACATGTTTGTTTGTTTTCTGTTTTGATTTAAATTTTTTTATATGTAAAACATAAAAACTATAAAAATAATAAATATGTAATACTTCCCATGTCCCTTTTGAATATTAGTATTATAATGAGTTGTAGTAAAAAAGACGAAAACATTTTTATTAGTATTGTGTAATATAAAAGTAATTACATTTGTGTAATATAGTGTAAGTTGGAAGGGTATTTATTATATTAAGTAGGTAATACAATTACTAAATTATAAAATGATAACCTTATTTTTGGACGGACAAAAATAGAAAATGACAACCTTTCAATGAGACGGAAAGAGTATAATATTTTTTATTTTTTTTAAAAAAGTATATTAGGCATTTTTCCACAAAACAAACAAACTTCTAAAAATGTCTAAACAAGGCTTGTTTTAGATTTTTAAAAAAAATAATAGTATAATGTATGATAAGATAAAATATATTTGAATTAATATATATATATAACAATACTATGATGAATAATATAAATTTTTTTGAAAATATTTATATAAATAAAACCCTAGTATTCAATTTATGAAAAATTCATAATCAATGTATTAATTTCTTAATTTTGTAAATATAATTTTATACAAAAATAAAAATTCTTATTTTTATTTAAAATTATCGGCGTACCCATTTACTTTATTCTTTTTCTTGCCCCACATATAATATTACGATTTTTTATATTATGTATTTTTTTTAAAGAATATGACTACACATTTTAATTATTTTTTAAAATTTTAAATTTTAATGTTAATTTATAATTATTTTTATTATATTGTAAATATTTTTAGTAATATGTTTTTTATTATTTACAAATCACACTCCTATTAAATTTTTGTATCTACAAAAGTCTTGAATTCTGGTATCTACTGACACTATATTTGATATAGAATGAGTATATATATATTTTTTGGCTACATGAAAGATATTAGTTTATCATTTTTTACTATCTAAATATAAGATACTCCCTCCGCCCCTTTTGAAATGAGCTATTTAGGGTTTTGTAGTAGATTAAGAATAATAGTATTTTCTTGGTTATTGAAAATATGTAAGAAATTTTAACATTTTTGTCATTTGACTTTTTATTTAAAGTAATTGCATGTGTAATGGTATGTTTGTAATTTAAGTAAAAATTAATGGTATTTTAATATTAGTTCATGATTACTTTTTCTAAAATTAGAAAATTATACTTTGAAATGAGATAAAAAAAAATATTTTGAATTAAGACGGATGAAGTATATTTGTTCCGTTCAAGTGCAAATTTATTCATTTTGCTATTTTTATCTGTCTAAGTTAAATGTATTTGTTTATTTTTTAGTAAAAATACCCCTCAATTAAATATCAAAAGAACTTTTGCTTTATTGTTCTTATATTTTTAATTCCACTAATGTCAAAATGTCGGGCACGTATATGTCTTCTTTTGAAAAATCTTAGTAAGGACTCCTTTAATTCCTCCTCAACATCGGCAACTTCTTCCTGGATGTAGATATGATGATTTTCACTTTATAATTTTTTATTTTGGGCCGCTTGAGCTTTTTTCACAAGCTGTTCGGCCTTCAAAACTTTAGATGTTAGCCGCCAAAAGTTGTGGTATTTTTTTAGGGCCAATTTCTCACGCAATTAATGTGTAATATTATCTATTTCCATGTTCACTATCTAATTTTCTGGTATGTGAACTTGACATATGCTTTCGAACCTTCTAAAACGCTCTAAGAACTGTTCAATCGATTCCTTACTGTGCTGACGCAAGTTTGTCAGGTCTAATAAGGTCACCTCAGGGACAGTACTGCAGAAACGCTAATGGAAGGTACTTTCCATATCTCCAAGGTGTGGATGAAATTTGAAGACAACAATGTGTACTAAGAAATGGCTGGACCAGTCAGAGATAACGAGAATAGTGGAGCTTCTATCAGTCGTTATTCCCGAATTCTTTTCCACATTGAGTCGTAAATCAACTGACATATTCGATCATGAATTGAGAGTGTTCCCCCAAAAATAGTGAAAATTCAGATATTCGAACGTTGCGCGGTAACAAAGGGTCCAAGGAAATATACCCCAGGAAAGGCTAAAAAAAGAAGCCTGTCCAGCCGATATTATGGATTCTCCGAACTTTTGGACGTTATGGATTCTCCGAACTTCTGGATGTTGAGTGAAGATCCTCCAGACCCAATACCCCTATAAAAAAGGGTGCATGATCGTATTTGAGTTTCTAGAAGGTCGGATCTGCTACAGAGCTGATTGTGAGACCCGCGGTAGGCCAAATCTCCGTTTGGCTAGAGTTGACCATCGGGGCTTTACTCTTTCAGGATGCTGGATGGAAGGCTCATAATCTAATCCGGCCTTCAAGCAGTAGCAAACGCCTTTTCATTTGGAGCGATTTCAGGCGCAGGGCAAGATGACGAATCACCGACTATTTATTTATTTTTGAACATCTTTGAGGTTGTCGGCAGCGGCAATTTTTTTTTCGGAGTTACATGCAAAATCGCGAAATTTTGGAGTCCCACTACGTGTGTCAATTCTGTGTCGTAGAAAAATTACCTCCGACAGCTTAACCGAAAAAGTCTGTTGAAATCGATTTGATCAATAGGATTCTCTGGCCTCTTCAAGAAATGATCCGAGTTATCTCATAATTTTCAAATAAATAAAGTAGCAAGAAGACCGAAATTAATACATGCAATGTTGAAAAAAACTAAAATTAAAATAAAGAAAGACTGAAATTGATATAAAATTTATGATACCCCGGAGTTGGGTCCTTATTTGGCCAAATGGATGAACCGGTATTAGGCCATCTAAAGTTGATTCGAGGTTAAATTGATTGAATAAACTACTCGTGTCAACAAATGTGTACATTCATTCTCGTGAGCCATATTGAAAATTTTTTAGAGTTAAGTATGATTGCTTTACAGTAATTTAAATATGTTGACAAAAATGCATTGAAATGACTCGTATTGACCTGTAAAATCAATTTACAATTTTGACATGCTCAACTTCGCATGGCTTACTGACCGGAGTGTCAGAAAATCCGCAGAATAATACTCCCTCTGTCCCACATAATTTGTTCCTATTTTTTATTTTCGTTTGTCCCACATAACTTGTCCTTTCTATTTTTGAAAATATAATTATGCACTTTAATCGCATTTTAAATTTTAAATTTAATATTTTTTTTATTTTAATTAAACTATTTACTTATTTTAATCTTAATCTATAATTATTTTTACTAAATAATAATTATTTTGTCTAATACACTTTTTAATTACTTACTAATTGTACTTTACCTAAATTCTCGTGTTTACGATAATAGACCCATATTATATGGTACGGAGGGAGGAATGCATTTCCAGAAGAACCTTCCCACTCATTTGCGACCGATCTCCTAGCTGTTACTTGGGCTGGACCGGCAATTGGGCTTTGCTACCTTGATATCCGGATGAACTGGGCCAGCTTTTAGCTCATGTCCACTACCAAATTTGAAGCTATTTATGCTTTAATAGCTTACAACCTACAGGTCTGTATAATTAATTACCAACTTATCCTCAACCCTACTTTTATATACTAAACTGTCGTATACAGAGTATATTATATATTAAATCAAATTCTTTATTTTTTATTTTTTCATTCAAAATTTTATTAATAACTAAAAAAAAAATTCAAACATTCTTTTAACCAAAAAAAAACACACAATCGAACATACTAAAAATCCATGTGTTGATCGACCGTTCAAAACACAAAGGATCTTCCAATCCAATCCAACGGTCCAGATCTACTTAAAAACATTACACACGATTCTCTCTCTCTCTCTCTCTCTCTCTCTCTCCTTATTCTTCTTTGTTCCACTTCTCGCCGGAAAACACCACAGTCAGCGGCTAACGGATTCCTCCACGGCGGCGGCGGTGAAGAAGAAGACTGGCTGCAGGCAGAGGTAGAGGCAGATAAAACAGGCGGCGGAGAGAGACAAAAACAGCAGTCCGTACAGAAATCGGACGCCCATCTTCGTCGGAGATAATTTGCGGCGGCGGCGGCGACAGCTCAGTGTGAAAGGAATCTTTGGAGAGGAGGAATCTGAACATTCCGAATTATAGATGGATATGAATGTGTGTGTGATGAGGGAAATGGAGGATGTATATCGAAATTGGAAGTGGATAAGATATGACTGTGTAATAAAATAATCATATTAATAATACTATTAATTAAAAAATAAATAAATAAATAAATGTGGTTACCAGCTAAGCTATTGCAAGTACGCTATCGTGTCAACTGCACATTCAACGTATGCATGTATAAATTTATTACTATTATATTTTATTTGTTCAGGTAAATAATACTTCGTCCGTTTCAAAACTATAGTCTGAATTGTGTTTGATATAAGATTTAAAAAATATTGATATTATATTAATAACTACGGATAAAAGATTTTTTTGTCCTTGTGAATGTATTAGTGTAAAAAGCAGTAACAATTGTGCAATAATAATGAAAAAGTA